GTCCGTATTGCTTTTTAACCCTTATCCTGTGCACGTGGTTCAGACTTTTACAAAAAAAAACAAAACAAAACAAAACAAAAATCCCTAGGTGTGAGAAGATTAAAGATTTTGAGATCTGGACATTTTCAAATCAGAAACAGATGTTTAAAATAAATCGGGCTGGCGGACAGCCACCAGTTTTAAAAGCCAAAGAGCCGTTGCATTAAAAGGATCCCCCAAAAGCCTTGAAGAGAACGAGAGCATCAGCAGTTCTCTCCACCCCACCAGCAAAGTCAGGGCCAGGACAACTCCACAGGGTTTTATCATGCATCTCCATGGTCTGTGCTGTCTCCTACCCTCATGAGTGTCACAACATTTTTTTTGACCCGCCCTAGTGACTCCTGCGCACACACACTCTGTCCAGCCACCCCTGAAATTTGAGCATGGTCTCCTCTGAGAAGATCTCAAAGCCCAACCTCTTCTCTGCATGTCCCAAATCTCCTCCCACCAAGATCTCCAGGGGAAATTGCAAGGACAAAAGCTCCAAAAGCCCCAGTCTCACCTGAATTCACCAGGCCAACAAGGCAACCACGCTGCAAAGCAGAAGGGAAGGGCCAGAGCCCTCTCTGCTCCCATGAACAAAGAACCCATCCCGGCAGGGATGACAAGAAGAAGCAGCAGCCAAAGCTGAAGAAGAGCATTGTTGGATCCAAGTCTCCTGGCTCAGCCAGGGAGGTGCAGATAGTCCGATAATCCAGAGGAGACAGCTACAAGCGGCCTCTTCTACCCCTTCCCAGCTGCTTTCTGCCTCCAATATCCAGGGTGTGCATCAGGGCTTGGACCAGCTCATCTTCCAGCCAAGACCCAGATCATAAAAACACACATACTAACCCAACAAGATCTCAAGTGCAGCCCTTGATTTAGGTCAAATATGCAGCGTCTCACCAGCAGCAACCGCTGTACAGTACCGGGAACTCTGAGATATCTCGAATTTTGCTGGCACGAGTGCTGTGCAGAACCCAGCATGACTGAGATGCCTGCCCAAGAGGGTCCATCACAGCTGAGATGGAGCTGCAGACTGCCAGAGCACCCGAAATAACCAAGTTCCTTCCTACATGACAAGGTAGATGCATTTCCAACCGAGAGCAGAGCATCCCAGAAAGAGCACGAGGCACTTTGCTCACCACCTCCCAATATTCCTGGCATTTTCTTAGTTATTAGCAGGAGAACCATCTAGAGCAGGACTCTGGGTTTTGGAGACCTAATTGGTTGAGGAGAAAAAAAAAAAAAACAACAAAAAAACATAATTGCCTCGCCATGATGTTCAGAACCTGCTTTACATGGAATAATATTCTTCATCCTACAGTTGTTTATAGGGTCTTTAACTCTTCCCTTTTTATAGGGGGGGTTTCTGAAATCAATTTTATTAGGGGAAAAAGATTTGAGTGTATTAGGCAAAGTGCCAGTAGCCATGGCAACCTCGGATTTTTCCATCTTCATTACAAGTTCAAGTAAAACCTTCATATAAAATCTAAATGAAAGGGTACATTATAAGTCCATTTTGAAATGTTTGCCTGGAAGTAAAACTTTGGACTGCATCCTTTTTTCTCCGCTGAACATTCTGGTTCTATGCGGAACACATTTTTCAAGTCAAATTTTTGTTTTCTTTCAAATTTTATTCCGTTTGCTCATACAGGGTGGGTCGTCTAGTGGTTAGAGCAAGGCATCAAGGCAACTGGTTTCCAGTCTCAGTCTGTTCCTGATCAGTCAGGGAGTGTTCCCAATTTTATCCAGGTGACTTGGGCAAATCCTGTCAGCTCTAAAAATCTTTTTTTTCTTTTTTTCTTCTTGACCAATATAACAATGGTGATTAATCACTGTCCTGAGGTTGCACCGACATTCACTCTTTAGCATTGAGAAAGAAGTCACTCCCCAGAGAGTAGCTCATCTCTTCCACGGCATTTTCTCCCTCCCAGGTCTGGAAGCCAGACTGAAAGGTTAAGGAGAGGTAGTGGTTAGGGGATGGCATGAATTGTCTGTTTTCTTTTCAAAGACTCCGTTAGGAAATAGAAATTAGGCTGCCTGGGTGTAGATACTGACACAGTGTTGTTCCAGGAGATACTCGGTGTACTTAGACAATCCTTTGGTGCCATTTGAGTGGATTCATTCTTGCACTGGGTCATCTTAGAGTGCTCTGGTTTCATTCAGTCTTGGGAGGAGGCAAATTCTGCAGCTGCTTTTCATTTCTGGGCACCATCTCACCTGGGGTCAGAAAGCCACAAACATTGCAAGGACTTCCTTCTCAACCCGTCCCCTCCGGTGTGCAGAGCTGAGCAGCTTCTCTACGGCTCAAATCAGAAGGAGAAATCTCCTCTCCAGCCTCTGTCCGGTCTGTGCAATGCAGCCCACCCCTGGGGACCCTGCGGAGCACCTGGTACTTTGGTTTTCCCTGGGAAACATCTGGAGACCTTATCCATGGCCTGTTCCCAAGGCTACAGAAACACGTGGGCTGATGCACTGTAAGGAAGGAAAATTTGTAGAAAAGCTCTGGACTAATCCCCTCGTATTTCAGCCCATCGATGGGCATCATTAATGGCCAGAGCCGGTTCGGGCTCAACCCTCGTGCCGTGGCTGCCGTGCATTTTGTCTGTGCATGGGCTGAGGATGAGTCAAACTGGCATTTCAGTCCTTCATCCCGGCTCTGGGCTGGCTGCAAATGCCGGAGGCACAACTCCCACCAGCTCATGCTAAAAACAGCACGTACCTTCTCAAAGGGGGGTTTTATGGGAGCAGCCACCTGCCCCACACATTACGTCGGCCGCAGCATCTGCTCACGTTGGGGCAAGTTTGCCCCTAAAGGACCATCACGTGTGGCTCGGAGGGGCTGGAGCATGCTGGTGTGGGTGCCAGCGGTGCAGGCGAGGCGAGCAGGAGCCGTGCCATGCTACGTGCCAAGAGCTTGCATCCCTCAGACCGAGCAAAGCGAGCCAGCACAGCCCCCCACCCCGGGCACTCCTCACCGGGCAGGGACAGGGCACAACCCGGCCCTCCGTGCTTTTTCATCCCTCCTAATGATGCTGGAAAACATTTTCCACATCTGCCATTAGACTGAAAGGAGACCCTGCTCCTGTTGAATCTGATTTCCCTTCTGCTCTGTTACAGTTAAAACTACAACCTGCTGCCTCCTGGCCGTGCACGTTTCGGGAAGGGGAGGAGGGGGGTTACAAACAGCGCAGGGGCTTTTTCTTTTTTCGATACATCCTTCCTTCCGCTCTTCGCAATCAATTAGCGGGCAAAGACTTCCGAAAAGCTCTTTCCTCCCTAACCTTTCGCAGCCTGTTGCGATAATGACTCTGGAGAGCTCGACCTGGGCCTTTGCGTGGGGTTCGTTACCTTCCCGGGGCAGCGGAAGGTGACCTTCATCACTCCCTCCTCTTCCTTTCCTACCCCTGCAGCTCGGATGGTCTCAGGGAGGAGGAGGAGGGGTTGAAGCCGCCTCACTCCCAGCAGATAGAGTTTCTCTCCAGTGTCATTTTTGCAATCAAAAGTCGGAGGGTGGTTCAAGAGATAACACAGACCCTGGGAGGTGGAGGGGGGAGCTGCCCTTAAAAATAATGATTATAATTATGCATCCCTTGAATCAAAACATCAAGAGATGGAGGGAAAAGGGGCTTTCTGGTTTTAATTTGAAATTTCTTTCTCCCTCTCTCACAAGGCATGCTGCTTTCCACACACCAAGCTCCAAGCTGCTGCAGCTTCCCCCCGAAACAAGCTTACAACTGAAGCAACTTACTTTGCCAGCAGCAGCAGGTTTTTTTCAGCCCCTCCGTGATGAAAACACACAGGTAGGATGTACTAGCAGAAGTTTTCCCTGGCACCTGCAGCTGCTTTCACAGCCCATCTGCCTGAGGACGGTGTATCATGGGCTTTTCAAGCAACACCTTGGACAAAAGCATCCCTGCTCCACAGGGCAGCTTTGTGCTGGCTCCCATGCAGGGTGGGGAGGACAGGAAGGACCGTGGATGTGTCGTGGGACAAGCACATCCCACTCAGCATTTACACAAGGTCTTTCCCACAGCCCTGACAATTCTCCCCAGATCTGGCAAGTGCCTCTCCCAGCGCACCATCATCACAACCTTCCTCCTCCTCCACCGCTCACCGCATCCCTCTCCGCAGAGCCATGGTCCTGCCGTGCCACGGGTGACATGACAGTGGTTTACTGAGTCACGTTGCTGTCCCTAAAGAGGAAGCTTTCTGGATATTTTTTTCCCTCACGTCACCAGCAGGATAAATGAGGGAGCCACCTCCACTCGCAGAGCAGCTGCATGGGGGGAGATACACCAAACGCAGATAAACAGCTGCTAAACCTCATGATTAGGACCATGCAACCCACTAAACGCAACACCTTAAACACATATCATCCTGTAAAAGCCACAGCTGCAGCGATGCCGTTCCTTCTTCAAACACAAAGTGACCCTCTCAGGGGAAAAACAAAAAAAAAACACAACAACAACAAAAAAAGGGCATTTTTAAAAAAGTTATTGCCAAACTTGGATAATGCAGATGTTTTTCTCCCTGACCATCACCTGTCCCCGGAGGGTGTGAGCAGCCACCTGTACTTCAGCTCCTCCGTGGCTCGGCATTACCCCGTTTGCCCCCGCAGCACCCCGCACCCGTTTGCTGCCCACTGCAAAGGCGCTGAACGTAATTACAACTGGCTCTCGCCCGCTGAGGGCACGTAATGGAAACCATCACACCCCAACCCAGCTGAGAGCGACTGGAACCACTTTGAGGCGAGAAGCCTATTACTGAGTTATAAACCTCTCCCATCCTCCACAGGAGCCTTTCATAGGGCCAGCTAGAAAAATAATAACTCAGACCCATGTGGTGAGAGGGAGAGAATACGGTGTCTCCAGGTAACAAATATTTGCTTCTTTCGCTATTGTTCCAGCCATAAAATGGATTTTAAAAAAAAAAAAAAACAAACGCAGAATTTTATTTCACTTGAATTAAATGTGTATGTGGCCCCTTGCTCCCCACTGAGAGTTGCTTAATATTTTTTTAAACCACGAAGTCACAGCTGAGCGCGTACGACACAGAAGGCCGGGTTCTCGATGGCTAAAATAGCCCGGCTTCATTGGCATCGGTGGATTAGCATTGATTTACATGAAGTAAAGATGGAGCATATGGTGCGTATGCGCAGGCAGGGAGTCAGAGGTCTTGGTGTGAGCAGATTTCCTCCTCCACCATCCACCAAAACGCGGCGGTCCCAGTGTCCCTCGGCGCCTCGATTGCGTCCCCACCGCTCTTTGGTATCAGCTCTGCACAGTGAGCAGGGTAAAAGGAGGAATCAAACTTTTGAGCCACGACCGTGACATGATGCCTTTTTTTCCCCACCATTTCTAGTCTCAAAAAATTTCCCCAATTTTTGTTCTTATCACTTTCCCCCACCATGGCCCAGAGGGGCTGGGGGAAGCTCCCAGCTGCTCTCTGTAAGTGGGAGCTGAGCAGAGCCGTGCCCGTGACACATCAGCAAACCCACACTCCCTGCAGAGGAAGGCTACCCCCGAAACACTCTGCCTGCCCCCTTGGAATCCCAGAAAACACCCAAAATTTGCAAAACTCCACATTTTGCTTCCCCGTTTACTCTGCTTGAAGCAGTTCCATCGACCTCTCATCCCACTCTAGCAACACCCTTCGGAGGGACAGGATTCCCTTTCACGTCATCAAGAAGATTAAAAATCCAAATTTTTAATCACAGCGAGTTATTAATAAGCCCATGAGGGATCCATGCAGGGTTGTTGATCTCCCTGAGACTGAGATAACAGCTACTGCTTGGGAAAACTTCCCAACCTTGGGACAAAAAGTCCATCAGCACATGGTCTTTTAGGATCATTGCTTTTCTGCTTCTCCGCCCATGAAATCTCATCTCTGACCACTAGAAGCAGAGGAGAAAGTCAAGAGACAGGCAGAGGACACGGTTCCTACTGCTTTGCCCCCTCCTTCGCCCAAAATCTAATAAAGATGATTAAATTACATGTCTTTTCCTCCCATTGAAATCACCGCAAACTGCTCAAATATTAGAGCTCAGGAAATAAGGCACGACAACTTCCCTCGTGAAACTTAAGAAGGCAGAGCAGGGGTCTGGAGCGACAGGCCTGCAAGACTGGGCTGCTCTAATTAAGAAATCACCCTGCTGAGCAGAACCTAATCTAAATAAAATAGAAAAAGGAACTTAGTTCAAAACGCTGCCTTGCGCTCTCCCCCCTTCCCGCCAGCCCACCTCCCCCCCATAAGGAACCCATCCAAGTCACAGGGAGTTTTTCTCTTCTGCTCTTTTTTGGAGGGTGAGGTAGGCTCACACAGAGCCCTGTGTGTGCTTGGGGTGGCCAACTTCCAAAGGAAAAATACACCAGCCATGTATGGCAAAAGGCTGCTATATTTTTTTTTTTTATTGGTGATTTTTTTTTTTTTAAATGATACTTGGCCTGCTGTTTGCTAAGGAGGGAAAAAAAAAAAAAAAAACACAAAACCAACCCTCTGATGATTATATTGTTGGTATGGCTGGTCAAAACTGGTTTGGGACAGAAATTTGGAGGTTAGGTTACACTTCCCCCTCCCCTGAAAAAATGTTTCTGCCTTTCGTGGAAAAATGTTGAAAAAATGAATATCAAAACTGAAAAAACATTTTACTACAGAATTTTAAAACAAAATATTCGAGCCAAAAATCTCAGCTGATTCGATCATTCACCATCTCTTCTCAAAGAACTTCCTCACACTCCCGTTCACCCCAACAGATCAGATTCCCCAGATGAAATAAATCTCCCATGAACCAGCGCCCCCACCTCCCATGTACCAGCACCGAGGATCATCATCCCACCACCCCCCCCAGCCTGGACCAGCGACTCGACCATCATCTACTGCCTGTCCAGGTCTCCTCCGACCTCATTCTCCTCCCCTCCCCATCACCTCCTTCCCCCGCGCCCGTGTTTTCTGTCCCCCTCTCCAATTTGGAGTAGGTGTCCCGCCATGCGCTACAGCCGCTCGGTCCCTCAGCTCCTCACATCCATGAATTTCATCAGCATGAAGCTACCACGTGAATCACTATTTAAAAGCTCAGGCACAGGAAGATTTATAGCAATAAACAGAGAAGCACAGACATTCCCGTGTATGTTTTTTAAAAAGCACTTACCTGCTTAAAAGGGAAAGTGCTGCTACTTGAAGGTTTCCTGGCCAGACCTGAAAAGTAAATCAAACAAACACTATTTGCATTTATTCATAATTCCCAGCAGATTGTTGTTCTAGGAGCTTTGAACTTCAGTGGAGTTACTCTGACTCTTGCCAGCAGGGGATTGTGCTGGCTGAAGATGTTCTCCTAAAGACTTTAGGAACGGGACAAGACCAGGAGAGCAAAACCAAACACCCCACGTCCATATTGTGCAGGTAGGCACCGGCTGAATGATCACGTGGACTGAGAAACCTGAACGAGAGGACAACTCCTTTCCTCCTCCACGTGACGTGATGTAATGCTCTCAAGCATCACAGATGCAAGCGCACACAAGGGCTGCCATTGCCAGCACGTCATTTAACCTCTGAAAGGACCAGAGCGATGAAACGCAGAGGAAGGCAGAGCCCTGTGCTGCCCACCCAAGGGGGGGTCACCACCTGCAAGACCACATCGGCAGTACAGCGTCCAGTCCCGGCCCCGTCTTGTACAAGATGGACATGGACTTGAGTCCAGCAGAAGACACTGAGATGGTGGAGAGCTGGGAACAGCTGGAGAGAACTGGATTTGATCAGCCTTGGAGAGGAAGAGAATGAATCTCATTACCATCTTCAATTGCCTAATTGCAGGGTGCAGAGAAGACAGAGCCAGGCTGCTCGTGCACAGGACAAGAGATAATGGTCACAAGCGAGGACACGGGGCATTAGGAGAAACTTTTTTCACCATCAGGGTGGTCAGACACTGGAACAAGGACAGAGAGGTTGTGGGATCTCCATCCTTGGAGATACTCAGGCCTTGACAGGTCATGCACCGAGCAGCCCAATGCGGCCAGCACTCAGTGGGGTTGGACTGGAGACCTGCACGCAGACAAAATTATCTGCAGTTCTGCATCTCTCTGCATACCCCCCGCAGTGCCCTCAAGCGTCCTGCCAGCCCGCACTTGCTCCCAAGCCCCCAAAGGGGTGCAGCGTGCCCCCAGACCCTCCCAGACGTATTACTCTCACAGTTTCCTTTCGAACAGTAAAACCATTTCTCCATAACTCAGCCAAAGCATTAACACTCCTGTTTCAGTTTCTTTTATGATAGCCTCAGGCTACTGCCAGCCAGGTTCCCCTCGCCACCCAACCCACTCCACAGCAACTGCAACTCTCTCACAGTGCTGCCTGTTCTCCAGCGGGGGAAAGGGGGGGGGGGAAAAAAAAAAAAGTAAATAAATACACTACAGAAGAAGAACATGGGAGGGATTGGCAGAAAGTGGCAATGAGCCAGCGCGAGTCCTCAGGTCTGCACTGTGCCCACCCCACACGCCAGACGTGGGTCCAACCTGCTTCAGGAGCCGCTGGGGGTACGACTTGGCTGATGGGAAGGACGTCAGATCCCGGCTGGTGAGCGACGGTGTTTGTGCCAGTTCATCACCCCTTGGGCTCTAAGGGGAAAAAAATAGGGACTGGAGTGGAGTCTGGTGGATTTCTCCCCTTCCATGGTCTCGCCCATTTTCCACAGGGCTTTGCACCAGCCCCACAGCTGTTCCTCTGACTCAGTTTCTTCCCTGTAAAACAGAAAAAGGTTGTTTTATCTTTACTGAGCATTGCAAGAATGAAACCCACTCACAAAGCATCAGGTGAGGGATGGCCACTGTTGTATACAGGGAAAAGTAAACTCCTGCCAACGTCTGCTCCTCGCTGGGGATGTCACCCCCCTGCAACCGCTCCCCTGAGCACAAGTGGAAGCTGCGTTATCCGCCTCACTGGTCTCAAGATTGAGTTTTTATTTCTCCCAGGTGTGACCCGCTAAGCAGCTGCGACGCATTGCTCTGGGAAATAGCACCAAGCAGATAACGTATTCCTGCCCTGAAGAGCTGATGGCTTGAATAGATTTTAAGTATGGGAGTGTGATGACAGACGATTTCTCAGCTTAGTGCTGCACGTGATATTTTATCAGTGTCAGGGGCATCCTTTGCATCTGCTTCTTTCTCTTTTTTTTAATAAAACCAACAGAACACTTTCCCCTAACATCTACCAGTGACAAACTCACGGCAAATTGTTTTTTCCCCTCCACCTCTCATTCATTCACCATGAATTTCAGTGCTCAGGACAGATCCCTGATATGCAGCAGGGCAGACCCGGTGTGATTCCCTCCGACACTTCAGGAACTGCAGTTTCGTTGCCACCACCCAAGTGCTGTACGTCAGCGCTGCACGGGCTCTGCCCTCCTTCCCCATCTCACCATGACTGGGAGTGCTCGTAATCAGCATCACTCTTGTCGGATGGATGGGAAACTGAGGCAGGGAGACACATGAAAGTAATTTGCCACAGGCAAAAAGCAGAGCAGGAATGGAAAAACGTTTCTTTTGATCCTGAGCCTCCGTTTAACCCCCAGGCCAGGCTTTCCTGGTGCCCACCGTCACCCCTCCATTCTGCCAATGAGGACACACGTTTCCAACCACCTTAACCTCACTCCATCCCGCAGAAACAGAGAGCACAATCAAGTGCAGCACTGAGAGACATCATCCCCAGGTAAATGCCAAGTAACACACGTCAGAAGAACAGAAAAAAAATGTTCAAAATCTACAAGGAGATATTTTTAAATTCCTGATGTCCTAAATGTTCATGTCGACTTTCTTAGCCAAAAACATATGCACAGCCCAGAGCTTAAAATCACCATAAATTTTGTGCTGGATATGACAATAAAAGCTTTGTGCTTGCACAGTGTAGAGTACACTCTGCTGCCTACCTGCACATGGACAACACAGATTTCCATTTTTTTGTTATTAGTACAGTTGCTTTTTTGCATGTACCTTTTGCGAATGCCTGCTAAACTTCAAGAAATGAGTCGAACACTTTAACAAAACAGAGCATGCCAGAGAGGAAGGTGGGAAGGTGCAGAGTGACATTCAGCCGCCGTGGTTCCCCTCCCTGGACCACTGCAGCTCCGTCCCTCAGCCCTGCTCCAGGAGGAGCCACGATCAGAGAGGGAATCCCACAGCAATGCTGCCGAGACCCGATGCAGCTATATAGTCTCCTTACCTTTGAAGAAGTTAAACTCTCCGCAGCAAAAAAAACTTGATGATTATCCCATATCAGGTTGGGGAAAGGTGTTAAGAGTCTTCGCATCGGTTGAGCACAGTCCAGCCAGGCCAGGAACAGGGGGAGGGCACGTCTGCTGTACACACACGTACGCACACACGCGGAGGCACATGCCCACGCAGCTGGGGGTTTACGTGAAGCCATTCCGAAGTCATGCTCTTCATTCTTCTCCTCTCCATCTGTGGTGGGGGATCTCAGAGCTCCTCTGCAGACCACGGATGTCCAACCTCCCCAGAGCAACACGCTGCCATCACCTGAACCACGTCCCCGTGGGGCCACAGAAATCCTCAGGCTCCCGGGTGAATTCACAGCCCAGAGCAGGCTGCAGCGAGCGGGGCAAGCGCAGCAGGCAGGGTACGGCCACAGCGAGCAAGCCCCCGCGCCGCTCACCGGGAATGCGTGGCCCAGCTCAAAGGACAAGTTGCCCCAAAGCTCCTGTTCAGGACCAGCTTCCCCTCCTGCCCCTGTGCTCAGCTTTGCTTTCTGTGGTGCCAGAGCGCAGGGACCACCGCGCCGCAGCCCCGCAGCCCACCGCTGCAAGCGGGGGACAGCGGCCGCTGCCGCCCGCGAGGAACGGAGCCCGGGGAGTGCTCCGATCTCATCTTTTATACCGCTTTGTTTAGAAGCTGTCGGCCCGTTTCGGGAGGCAGCGGCAGCGAGCAGGCACACGCAGGGAAGCGAGAAGATGATGGGTTTTAGCAAGAGTCCAGGGACACCTTTTCTTAAGGTTCATTCATAGCGGCAGGCATGGTACAACAGCCCAGCAATTGTTCTCTGAAGCGTCACCTTCCCATGGAGGCCACTGCGCTGACAAAAGCCTCCCCTTACAGGCAGGCGCTCCCACCTCTATTATTTTTTTCTAAGCATTCTTGTTTTTAACCACGCTATCCTGCAAATATCTCCAGAGAAATTCCACCACGCACAAGACAAGGTTCATTTCTTGCCTCCCCCCTCCCTCCCAGCTCTTCCTTCTCTCCCCCTCTACGTTATCCCTTTCTCCCCTTCTCCCTCTCTCTTCCCTTCTTCCCGCAGCTGGAACAATTTGGCTCTGTTCACCCGCATTCCTGCGGGCCCGCTCCTCGGGCTGCCCACGCCGGGCTCGCTCCGGGCACGGGGGACACACAAGGTCTGCATTCAGGCAGGGCAGGGCAGGAAAGTCAATCTAACGTACTCGGGGATTGTTGTGCCATCAACGTAATACCTGCACAGGGAAAACAAAGGCGCTTTAGAGAAGCGACTTCAGTGCCATGACCCTTCCCCCAGCCCAGAAGAACCTGAGAGATAACAAGGGCTGAAAGAAAAGGCACAAACATAATTAAAACTATACAAGCGATTTCTGGAGGTATTATAGATGATGATAGCCCAGAGGATAATAGTATTCCTGATATTATTAACATCCACTGGCACCAAGAGACAAGCGGTTTGTTTGCTTTTTTTAAGCTCTTCAGTGTAATTATTTTGGAGCAAGGGGGGGAAAGGTCCCTTTTGGAAGGGAAAGGAGCTGGGAGCGGTGCCGAGCCCCGGGCTCCGCAGTGCTTTCTGCATGCAGAGCTGTGGCGATGGGACGGGCATCCCCCAGGACACAGCCACCCTGTCCCCTTCCTCTGGATGGCTCCGACCCACGGGCTGCATGTGCCTGGGAGGCATCGAGGCTCCCCCGTGCCAGCTCGGGAGTTCAAACCCATCCAGCACGGCTCGGCTCTCCATCCCACGGGTGCACTGAGTGAAAAGCACGGATAATTCCTCTGCTGTGGCTGGTTTCTTCTTGCCCGTGGTGTCGTGCCTGCTGACGCAACCCCGGCTGGGGCAGAGCGAGGTTGAACAAAGCTAAGCAGGTGCAAGGGATTAACGTCCCGGACGATCCTTTTGTTCACGTGAAACAATTTCAGGCTCTCGGCTAATGAAGTCCAGAACCGGGCTATTCATCTCTGCCCATAACAACACTCTCTTAATCAGGCCAATTGATTCCCAAGCCCAGGCTTGTGGCACAAGCGAGGGTCCCCTCCATCCCCACCAGCGCATGGCGCAGGATGGGATGTCCCCAAGCACCAGGTCACAATGGCCGGGCAGACGCCAGCCCCGTTCCCACCAGTATCACAGGCATGTTCTGTAGGGTTTAACTATTCACCTAAAGAAATACCACCAGTCAATGGGGAAAAGTGCCTGTCCAGCATTGCTGGCCCATCATGCAGGCTCAAGCAAGCCAGGTCCACGTGCCGTGCCCAAGCAGACCTCAGCTCTCACAACCCGGGAGTTGGACTCGATGACCCTCATGGGTCCTCTCCAATTTGAGACACTCTATGATTCTAATTTGGGGTTTTTTCCCCCATCACTGCCGCCAATACTCCACTTTCAGAGTGGATTTGTTGGTCCCGCAGTGCAAAGCAGCAGGTGGGGAATCCAGGTAGGAGAAGCACCAGGTAGATCAAGCCCAAAAGGCTCCTTGGGGCTGGGTCAAACGGGTTGTTTTGGGAGGGTGGCTTGAAGCCAACCAACCACAACCGGTCAAGATGAAAATGGTGTCAGGAGCATCAGGAAGTGGAATTTTCCTGAGAAATCACAGAGATGTTTGCAAATATTTTTTCACCCCGGTCTGTTGCTAGATAGAGCCAAATTCCGTTCTATTCCCACTGCATGATATAATTAATGGTAACACAAGCTCTGCCATTATGCAAGAAAAGTGGGGGCTCTTTCTGTTCCAGTTTCATCTCAATCATTGTTTTCTTGCATCGGAGTTAACCCTGTTTCCTCACTCTGCACTCAGTGTAACCTCATTAAGCAAAAGCATAGTCTGTGTTATTTATTTATTCCACATGATAAAACCAGGATATTACTCACTGTAATAACACGGGTTAATTTTCAGTGAAGTCTCTCTTGGCAAACTTTTAATACCATGAATAGCACCCCTATCAGATCCGAGATAAAAGCCTGTCATATCCTAACCTCATTTCAGTCTTTGGACCAGTAACGCTACACTTCAAGGTGCTGTAATTACGTTCCACTGATTTTTGTCTTAATTGTTACTCATAAAAACCAAAGCATAAAATTAAATTAGTTCAGTGTTATTTAGCACAAGCTTTGTCCAAAGCCAAGCGTCCACGTCAGGCCGGGAATGCCTGCGTTAAACTCCATTTCTAACGCACCTCTCTGCTGGTCCTTGAGTTTGAAATGAGGTGGACGGCAGTTGGGGTGAGTGGGATAAATATTGTCACCCATCTCACTCTAAAATATTGTCACCCAGCCTGTGCGGGAGGGTGCAAGCAGCCCTTGGGGCAACCCTTGGCCATCTGAGCCCCCAAAGCTGCACTCAGAGTGGTGCCTCAACGCTCCCCTTCTACGGACAGGAGGAAAATGGGGGAGCAAACCTGACAGTTGTCTCTAGTAAAAGCAAAAGAGGAAGAAGCCATTACAATTGAGGGGGGAAAAAAATAGGAGATAGTCACAAACTAGAGGAACCATCCTGAC